TTATTTAGCTAGCTTTTAAAACACTTTCTTATAGACAATATAAGCATCATATCTTCTAAAGAATGAAAGATAAATTATCTTAGTTTAGTATGTTTTAAGCATTTAGATTCTTTTTTTCTTTTATTCAATATTTAAGACTTGTTATTTTTGTAGGCTTTTAGATGAGTAATTTGGGCTAATTTATGAAGGTTATCAACTGGGCAAAATTAGTTCCCAATTGGGTTCGGATTTTTTATTCTTTTAGATTGAGCATTCTTAGACTCTCTAGAAAGCTAAGAAAAAGACATACAATATTTGTGAAGAAGCCAACTCCTAACGAGTTGTTTTAATGCTTCAAAGTAGGCTTAAAGTCGGATACATGAATTAGTTACGAGTTGGAAACAAATTAGGAAACAAACTATTACTACCCAACTTTCAACAAGACTCCCAAAAATTAATATACACATATTCAGATAATATTATTAGAAATCATATCTAAAGAAGGAAAACACACAAAAATCTTACAAATCAAACAATATTGAGAAAAATCACAACAAATCTAACCGTTCTTTTGCGAGGCTTTGTTTACTCGACGATGGCGTTAACTTTGTTACGACGACATTAGGTGGCGAAGATGTCCTTGGGTCGACTTCGAGCAGCAATGGAACAAGTGAGTTTGGGTGAGAACGAGGGATGGGCAGCAAAGAGCTCTAGAGAGAAAATGTTTTCTCGTTTTCTATGTAGGAAGTCACTTTCCCAAAACTTACCTTTTAATTTTCCTTGACTGGAAAATGCATTTCATTGACTATTTTCAAAATGATCAAACAAATATGTAAAAATGGAGAAAATAAGTTTTTGAAACTTGTTTTTCGCGAAACAAACACACTCTTGATCAACTTGTGACCCCACCAAAATCAAGCTACCATTGTGTTAATTTCTTTGGCATTAAAGAGCTAGCGAGCTTGAAACACGCCATTGAAAAAATTGGAACAGCAAGGCAACGAGTAAATTGTAAATTATAAATTAGTTTTTTTAGTTTCAAGAAACAAATTAATTAGTCTCTTTTGTTTTAAAACTATTATTTAATTTTTTTTATCAGCATTGACCATACATAATTTAATATTATTTTTATTTCATAAAATACATTTTTTTATCGTTCATCTTTTCATATTCTTTTCTTTTTTTATTTCTTATTAAAAAATTAAAATAAATTGAAAAGAAGTAAAAATATGAAAACTAAATAATTAATTTTTAAAATAAGAGATATTAATTTATTTATTTCCAAAACTAAAGGATTGATTTATAATTTATTCGAGAGGCAACCGACTTGATGAGGATTTTTTTGCCTGCTTGAGAGGGGAACTTTTCTTTCCAACCTGTGAAAGCTTGGCACTTACCATACTTTCAAATTTCGGATTGTGTTTATTTGGAGGAAAACAAGTTTCCTCATTTTTTAGTGTTTGTTTCGTATTTAGGAAAAAAAAATCAACGAAAAATGATTTTCGAGTCAATGAAAAATAATATAATATTTTTGAAAAAATGTTTTCCTAATTTAAAAAGAGAAAAATATTTTTCTTCTCGCTAGCTTGTCTCGCTCTCGCATTACTTACCTCTCTCTTGATATATTTTAACAATTTTTTCTCTATCTTATTTTTATTTAAATATATCAAATTAATTTTAATTATTCTTTATCAATAATTATTTATTATTTAATAATTTTTCTCTATTTCTACTAATATTTGATTTTTTGATTTATAGATATATTAAATATTCTTAAAAACCATTTTTACACCTTAAAATTATTTTTATAATAAATATTTCAATAATTTATATTTATTTTTTTTACTATTATCTCAAACACCACTTACATTATACTTCAATTATTGAAAATGATTATTACAAGACTGTAATGTTTTATTAAAAAAATTAAATTTATTTATTTATTAATAAATACATTATTTTTTAACACTATTTATTTGTAACTAAATTAATAATTTTTAATTTTAATCGGTTGTAAAATTTTGCTATTGTAATGAATAATTAGTTACAAATTATTCCAACTTTAATCTTTTGAAACCAAATGAATAATTATCTACAAATGATAACTAATAATTTATAAAATTATTTTTAAACTAAATTATCAGTTCAATTTCTAAAAAAAAAAAATTCTTAATTGAGTTACCAAAATAACAATGCTAGAATTACTTAGATTTTTTTTTTTTTACTAAATATGAATATTGACTTGATTTTGTCACAATCAACTTTGATGAATTGGTTTGATGGTTAAAAAAGTATTTTTTTTTTTGAATTAAAATTTTAGAGTCAATATTTATGGCATGGAAATTTATTCAATTTTTCTAAATGTACCTTATATTGTGAAATTATGAATATACCTTTTTGAAGTTTTCTCAAAACTTATTGATGTAATAATCACATATTGTTTTTATATTTTAATTTTCTGTATCAAACAAACGCTAGATTATATTTTTCAGCGGTTTTTTCATATAATTGCCAAACGGCGAGAAAATATTTTTTGAAAAATAATTTCCTAAAAAATAGCTTCCTCGGGAATTGATTTTCCTATAAAAATTATTTTTTGGCAAACAAAAGAAGCCTAAGATTTAAAACTTTATTCCCTGTGTCTTTTATTTATTTATTTATTTCAAGTGACTTAATTCTTCAATACATGATATAGAAACTGAATAATTAGCCTTTGGAAAAAGGGGGACAAATTAAATCCTTTCTGAAAAATAGAGAGACTAAATTATAATTTACTTCCTTCCCCAATTGCTGTCAGATCAACCCTCTCAAGTTTGTTGTTTTTTAGATTTACCCCCTTCATCTAAGTGTATTGCAATTTCAAGAATGGCTCTCTCCCTCTCTGTTTATTTCATATCCATCCCTCTATTTTTGCTATGTTGAGGGTCACTCCCCCAACTTTTGATATTCTTGTTTTTCCCTAGTGACGAGGGTAACTTGGTATATAGTACCAGTGTGTATGCTTCATGCAATTTTCCAAAAATCTTATCCTTTTGCTCACCTCATACGATGAAACCAAAATCCAAAACCCACCCAAAGTCTAAAAACTCCAACTCCCTTTGGGAATGGAATACAAACGACAGCAAGAAGAAGAAGGGAAATCAATTCCCAGTTCCTGAATTCCTTCAAGACAATTACAAGAAAGTCGAGGAAACAATTCTGGGTCCTGGAGGCGGTGTTGGAATCGGCTGTGGTATCGGAGCAGGCTTCGGGTTGGTGGGTGGAGTCGGGTATGGTGGCTGGCCATGGAACCATGTGAAGCTAGTTTTTGGGGTTGGTATGGGTTGTGGTGTTGGTTTCGGGTTTGGATATGGAAATGGGCTTGGGCATGGTTTTAGTTTAGATTCTTTGGAGTCTTATTTTTCTTAGAGAACGTCGGATTCTAACAAGAAAAGAGTTGTAATTGAGATCTGATTTTAATTAAGGTTTCAAGAACTCATTCCTGTGTTGATTTTTCTTCTTTTTCTTCTTGATTGATCGTTTGATATTTTAGATAAATGAGTTTGCATTCTGCATTATTATTTTGGGTTCGAATCAAGAAAGATAATTGAGATCTTTTTAATGTGGACACTAAAGAAAAGATTAGCGAAGGCAGAAAATGCGCTTCATTCTCTGGTTGAAATCTTGGCCCAAAAGACATTTTGATGGAAGAAAATTACAATGGCAGACATTTTCATGAGATCTGCACACTCATTTTTCAAGAATAGCTTTCAAATTCATTGACTTGAACTACAATGTAAAAATAATTAGCAACAAAAGAGCAACTAATTCAAAGGGCCTCTCATCATCCCCTAGAATTCAGTGGAATGTCAATGTGCCATGATTTCATCGTTTCTGAATGATGTCAAAAAAGGAAACTGCAAGGGGAAGATAAGTAAACTTGTGAGGTCATGGAATTGAGGTAAAAACCAAGGACAAAGCTGGTTTTTGCTGATCCTGCTAGACTTTCTTTCAATCGATTTTTCTACCAACAAGAACTTTAGATTTAGAAAGCCATATCCACTCAGAAAAACGTAGTATTAGGCCTCGATTGGCTTTTCGCACAAGCTTAAAACACTCAGAAAAGCACTCTCTAACACAAGGCAGTTCACTGACTTCAAATGGAGCTGAGGCCGACCTTAGCAGCCCAGGCTTCCAGCTCCTGAAGTCAATCATTCACTTTCTGTCGCCTACGCGGTGCTGATTTTGGGCAAGAATAGAACCATTTCTTGCAAACTACATCTTTGAATAATAGATTTCATCCATAAGAATTGCTTGCAGATGCACAAACATTATAGCATCGAAATCCCAGAACCAGGAGGGTATTGAAATGTCTGCTTTACTTGAAATTTTTACCAATTTACAGAAGCAACTGCGACGCATGATACTGCTCGAAGTAAGCATAAGTTCCCCAACCTACATACAGAAGGTCTGACAAACATGATACTGACAGAAGAAAACATAGTGTCAATCCATTATAATGTCCAGCTTTGGTTACTGACAATTGTAAGGAATGGATATCACCTTCGAGCAGAATACAACTTGAAATGTTGCGTGCTCACTTGAGAATACAACGAGTTCCCATGTCATGGGAATTACCTACGCAGTAGATATGAAAATATGCTCTCAAACAGCAACCAAATGGGCATAGCTGACTATAAGCCTTTTCCCCGCCTGCATTAGAAGCTTCAAAGCAACCTTTGAAACTCTTAGCAGCACAATCTTACAGAGTTAAAAAAAACAAAATCTTACTGGGCATTCATAAAATCAAACGGCCACATTCCCCATTTCCAATACCACAATTTTAAGGTTATCTGGATCTAAAACTAGGAATAATGCAGCATTCAAAACAATTTTTCTTCTTTAAGTTTTTCCAAAGTGAAAATTTGAACGAAGAAACATCAACTTTAGAGAGAGCATCATGAAGACCATAACTTGATGCTTAAAACATTAACTTCTGTATTCAAAATAGTAACATTACAAAGGGAAAACTAATTTCCTAACTAAGAAGACGATCCATCACCATCGCTCTTGTCCTTCTTAGGATGAATTGCCTGAACAAGGGCCTCGATTTCTTCCTTGACTCGTCCAAACACACCTGGTGCTTTAACTTCATCCGTGGGAGTATCCTCGTCAATATCATCACTTCTTCCATGTGTTTCTTTATGATGGTGTGGAGATTTTCCACTACGATTTATTGCTTCAATCTCTTCCTTGGCTCTTTCCATCAAATTTGGTGCTTTTACATCCTTTTCTTCTGCATCAAAACCACCAAAAAATGAAAATACTACAACGAAAACATAATTTTTCTTCTGTTTTAGCAAAGCCCATCAAGAAAATCTACAAAGTTAACCTTCATTATGAAATAATTTACCTGATGATGGAGGAGTTTTTGGGTCTGCTTTTGGTTCAGCCATTGAAATTTTCCTTGATTAAAATTTGTGTCTCTGACTAAGACTAATCCGGGATTTGGTTATTGGATAATTTCATCAGGGCCGTTGAATTAGTTCCCGTGATGACGTGGACGGTTCAGATGCTTTTCTTCATAATTAGGTTATTGATAGGTTTGTGCAAGCCACGTGATCGTTATAGAAGAAAACTTTAGGCATAGTAAAAAATGTCGTAGTAGGTTCTATATTAGTTCTTCTAGTTTTGCAACACAAATTAAATATCCCCTCCAGTTTCAAAATTAATTAATTAGTCCTTTCTGTCCAATTTCATGTCCTTTCTCAATTTATTTTTTTTATTTTAAAAAGATAGAAAAAGGAAAAAAAATCAGTAAAAAATATGAAAATATTATTGATAAAACAAAATATTTTTTGAAATAAAAAAATATTAAATTAAGCATGATCAATACTTATTAAAGGATTAATTAATTAGTTTTTAAAACTAGAGAAACTATTTAATTTGCTTTTACAAAACTAAAAAGGACTAATTATAATTTACTAAAAATGTCCAAAGTATTTTTAAAAAAAATACTGGTATTTCTCTTCCCGAGATTCAAGCAAACTAATATATTTGTCTTTGTGATTCGTAAAATCTGATCCAAAAATGCCTTCATTTGCATGCATTTTAATTATTTTTTTGCTTTTCCATTACATGCATTTCAAAGCAAAATAATTTGCAACACATAGTTGACTAATTCAGAGTTCTTTCGTAGCAAATCACAAATCCTTTAGCAAAAGTCTGCCTTTTTTTATGATCCTACTCTTCTTTCTTTCGACAAAAACTCTGGATTTTCACAAACACACTGCAAATGAACTGTTGCCACTGCAAATTGCAAATTACTGTTAACGAATTGTCTGCTCAATTCAACTTGATTACAACCCTATGTAACGTAAGCATAAATGGACAATCAAGCTTATAAGATTCTCAAAAGCTCTCTCAATGAGAACCTTAGCGGTCAAGGTTCCAGCTCCTTCATTCTATCACTCACTTCCTGTTGCATGCCCCCATACTGGTTTTTGGCAAGAATGGAACTATTTCTTGCAAATTAGATCTTTGGAAAACAAATTTCAAGCAGGAGAATCAAAGCACAGGAGCAGAATCATAATCTCTTCAAGATTCAAGGACCCCGGAGAGAGCGAAAAGGTATACATTACTTGCAATTTTAACGAATTTACGTTTAGTATGTGCTATTGTTTTGTTTAATTTAATGAAGGAATGAGTCCATTAAAAGCAGGAGGGCCAATCCTGATACAAGCCCAGAGAAGAAGCAAACTAACAGAACAACACTACAGGAAACGAATTACACTGACACATTGTTTTCTTATGAACGCCACAACTTTGGCTGCTAATTATGCATCTATCACGATTACCTCCTCCCGGATTCCACATCTTCAACAGGCGTAGTTACGTCAGGTGCCAGATGGAGCCCTAAGAATCCATTACTATCATCTTCTTGGCTCTCAACATGTGAATCCACTGACTCTGCATTAAGTGGAATTACAGCAGTGTCTGCTTGTGCATTTTCACGCGACTTCTCCAGTTCATAAAAGTAAGCATAAGGTCCCCAACCTGCATGCAGAAGATCAGATGAACATGAAACTGCATAGAAGGAAACTTAATGCCAATTTGTTAAGGTGGTCAACTTTGATGAATGCATATGCAAAGAATTAATGCCATCGTTGAGCAGGATGCAACTTGAAATGTTGCATGCTCACTTAGAATACATTTGAGTTCCATGTTGAAAACAACAACAACGTGGGAATCAGTTATGCGGTGGATATGAAAGTCTGCTCTCGAACAGCAACCAGATTGGCATAGCTGACGATTTTTGGCTCCAGCATTAGAAGCTTCTTAGAGGGTTCTTGCTATCTCATAAATGCAGGCTGTACAGCTGCAGCTGGGTGCTGCTATTTCCTGGTTTTAGATACATATACTCAAACAGGTACATTAAATGAATTTCTTTAGTTGTAACCTAGGTGCCTAATCAAAATCATTCCTGCATAACCCGAATATACTTAAGAAGAAAGTATAGCTAATGAATCAACAATGCTCCAAGCAACATCCTTCCTGGACTCTAATGTTCAACAAAAAGTAAAGGAGCCATATAAATTTACCAATAAACATACCTTGAGGATGATATGGTGGGGGAAAGAATTGCAAATAGCAAAATGTGGAGACCACAAGTCCTGCAAAAGATGCCACTGAAATAATTAGCAAAGGTGATCATCCAATAGACGAGGAAGATTTATCTAAATGACAATGAACAATGAAAAGCACACACCTAAGAGACCTCCTGCAAAGACATCCTGCCAATGATGCCAGTAGTCGTCCACTCGGGAAATGGCAACAAGACTTGCAGCTAGTAGTGGTAAGATGACGATGCATAGTTTTGCAACATGGCCTTTACGGTCAAATGCTTGTAGTTTTCCAGATAAGTAGAGTGATAGGAAACCCAGACCAGCAAAGGACCCTGAAAATGGAAATCATTATTCCTCAAAGCAAAAATGACTGCCTAAAGTATTGAACAAACATGGCTTTGGTATTAAGTGTTCAATCTCTGCAGCTTCCCTTAGCAAAATGCCCATATTTCAATGTAGAAATTAAAATATTTCTTCACACTCACAGTAAAGCAACTTTGTGGTTAATAATTTCTTAAAGTGTTTTGTCAAGCAATTATTTCTAATGGTGAACTTACATGAAGTGTGCCCACTGGGAAAACTTTTATGCCCTTCCTTTATGACACTTTTGTCACCATGACATATCACATTTCCCAACTGATCATAAACCTGTAAATCAATAAGGTTTCAGGTATTAGATTCTGTAACCATGAAAGTGATGAAATGTGGACAGCAGGTGAACCTAAATCAATCCTCACAGTAGAAAGTATCAAATATTGCAGGTCCATAGAAGCATACATCCTTTCCATCAGGAAAACAACGCCAAAAGAAATCAGGTCGAGGGCGACCAACTGCATTTTTATTGAATCAGTAAGGACAGCTGTCACTAGAATGGAGAATAAGAGGCCTGCAGCAGTGAACACACATAATGCATTATGAGACTTCTTTCAGCAAATTGGATAACAGAAATCTTTTATAGATAAAACAGTATGGAGAGGGCAGGATATTATCACCTAGTATGGCGTGATGAAGATCATAGATGTCTCTCCTACGGAAGTAGACAATGAAGAATATTGCCATAGGCAAAAGAACAGCGTACATCTAATAATCAGAAAAGAGAAAGGGTTCCATCAATGTTGTTGTTACTCGCATGGTTCACTTGTAACATATGTTTCTATTTAGCAAAAGAAGCCACAGTACTTACAGGGACAGTCCAAACAGGCACTGTATTATCTAACAAAGGATATTTAAGATCTGTCATCATATCCTTCCCAACAAATCGATAAAATGGAGGCGTAAGATAGAGGATGCCCTCTATCACCACAAGAAGCACAAGCATAAGCCAATCATGCTTGTGTGTCCTTGCAACTGTAACTCCATGGGACCTCACAGTATGTTCACCAGAACCAAGGTGGACCTCTCTCATCTTGCACTGCATTTATGCATTTCACCATTGGAGTTATCTAATAGCAGACTTTGAGCTCCAAATAAAGGGACATTAGGAAAGTAACATAAGGTTTGTTCAGTGAAATATGACCACAGGCCTTAATAGTAAAAATTATCAGGAACGTTATAAATGTTATATCTTTATTTTACTGTCTATGAATGTCAAGAAAGAAATAATCCCCTTTCTCAATGCATATGCAACTCAAGCTATATAAATCACCTTTAATATGAAAATTAAAGAGTAAAGACTAAATTAGGAAACCCGAATTGTGCATGCAGCAAGATTACTTCTCAAAGATCCGTATCTTAAATACACTTGCAGCAGAATTATCTATTCTAGATCATGAATTTTGAGAGGACTCTCTTCACCACTGAACAAAACATAGCACTACATAGGCATGTTATAATAATGCTTAAATACTCATAGAAAAATGAATTGATAAACGGTTCTCCATAATCATGAAATTTCTAATGATTTTAAAAATGAAAGAAATTTAAATGCAACAGCTTTTTCAAAACTCAAAAAGAACTAGAAAAGCAAAGCCACTAGCCTTGCCAACACACGCCCAAAGCTTCACATTATTATATTCCAGAGAAGCCATGACACCTCAATGAAGATCTAAAAGTAACAACTATACCTCTTCATTCGTGTGCTCTAATAGTGGAAGGTCAATCGGTGAAAATGACTGACTAGTATTTGCAGTAATCTCCAGCCTGTTGATTGACGCATCCTAGATAACCCCAACAAACCAATATTCAGGTAAAAAAATGAAGATCCCAGTGGTCATACAATTAGTTTAATACAGTGGTCAGATTTGAATTCACTTATGCGCAGATTGTGAACTTATGCTAAGTTTTTGAAGGCAAGCAATGCATCCTGCTATCCTAACTGCACACTGCACCCAGTTCTATATCACGCCAAAACATCAGATATAATAGTTGTCAAACTTTTAATCAGAACCCAAAACTGTAGACGCAGTACATAATAAACAAACTATTTCGATATGCTTTATATCATGTTCTTTTTAATGGCCATTCTATTTGGCAGCTCAATTCTTACACTAACAACTGCTATGCACTTGGCTATACTCTCCCTCGTCAAGGAGTCTAACAACTGTATCAACAATTGCCATTACAGAAAAGCACAGCCACTACAATTATCCTCCCTTATCTGAAAAACATTATATTTTATCACCGTAAGAGGTGACAGATGGTATGCACATAACCATTAAACTCATCCTCCCTTATCCTCCTATTGAGCTATTAAACTTAACACAATTATTTGTCACCAGCATCTTGAAACCAGATTTAAGACCTTCAAAACTGGTGATGAACCTTATACATGGATATTCATTCAAAAGCATCTATGAGAAACTCGAGGTTGGATCTAAAATGAAATCAACGAAAGCCACATGACATAGAAAATCCATTGCACTGTTTCCTAAGGACCTCCAACTTTGCTGCTATGCAGACCTCCACTATTGTAAAATAAAGATCTAAGGTACGGTTCTGAAAACGTCTGGCAAAATCTAACATTTCAATGAAGACGTGGGAGCATCTCTGAGTGGAGATAGCAGAATAACCCAATGCACCAATTTAAAGAGTTACTTCTCATATCGATGGGCTCCAGATCTTCTCATTGTTAGCTTGACTACTCAACTATGCCTGGATAGCAAATCTACAATTCAATTATACGTAATAATATCAACTGAATGCACTCTTTCATTTTACTTTAATAAACAAGGCAATCAAGGGTCAAAACGAAGATTCAACCTATGATGTATTAAACCTAATAGAGACTTACAAGCATTCTAATCAAGGGAACATGTAAAAATTTTGTGATGTAATACTCCTCCAAGAATGGCTGTTTTTAATCAAACAAAATAACAAAATCCACACGGAATAAAATAAATGCCCAAGCATAAAGCTGCAAAGGACCGTTGGCAACTCAACAGAAAATACTTAATATTTGGAGGAAGGATTCAACTAAACCATTCCCTTGATCCCTATTTAGACAATTAAGAGTAAGTATACTGAATCCTCTCCAACTAATAGCAGTGAATAGCAAGTAGCTCGAGCTTTTCAATGTTTTCATCCTTTAATGGTTTTATTTCATTGAATTTTAATTTGCTTTTGATTGCAGGTTTCAAATTTCATCACAGATAGAGCCTACATAGTAGAGACTTGCTCTTTGCCCTCAAAATTCCAAATCCCCATATTTCCCACTCCAACAATGATGCGATCTCTCACCACACAAGGCCAGATTAACCCAACCCTAATTTCACAGAAGAAATACAATATAAATGTCTCTTCCATATATTGTTCTGTTAGTAGAGAAAACCAAAGGAGTCGCATTTATTGACAAATCAGTCATATTCTGCTACACCAAGTACAATGCCAACAACATCAAAAACAACAAAGCAAGCCCACATAAGATCATCCAATCTAGCTGCTAAAGACTAAGAGCGAAAGAGAAAGAAATAACCTTTTCAGAAAAGAAACACTAACCTGAAAGATGCCTTTAAAATTCTTAAAGAAAGAAAGAGATCCATAATCCCACAAAGGCATTGTACTCACTCACCAAACAAAACCACATAATATTGCAAAAGACTTAATAATAAGTTTGAATGTTACTACTAAGATATAATGTCCCAGAAAGTGTCAACGTGGTATACGAAGCTTCCCATGAGTCAACAATGTTCATAAGAAACACACAAACAATGTTTTCTTATCCACTTCAAAATACAATAAAGATGAAAACTTTGAGAAATAATTATAGAGAAGAAGCCAAAAAAGATGACAACAAAAAGAAAAAATAAACAATGTAAGGATTTACCAAAAAGACACAAATGGGTAAATTACCTAGTAAAAAAAGTTGGGTTCTTGCTGCGCGATTGAAAGACGGAAAAGAGACCAACCACGCTTATCTAAAGCTTCTATTGATTGCTTTAATGAAAAAGGGTTTGTCCCAAAATCTACTGCAGCTTCATGGCAGGATCCCAACTCGTTTTTGAAGGCAATTCAGTTACAAGTTTTTTACATGGTTATATTTTAGCCTTATTTTCCGTTATTTTATGGTGTTGTTGAAACTTGCATGTTGTAAATAAACACAGCGTGGCCTGCCTGCATTTCCAGACTAAACTAACCACCCTCATTTATTTTTAGTAATAACAGAATAACCATATTTTAATACGTTATATTAAAAAAGTGCCTGTAGATCAATGACAGCAAACAGCAAGATTATTATTTATTGGTGATTGAGGTTTAAATTATTAGGTTAGTTAGAGACTAATATAAATTATATTCTGGATTTCACATATCAGTTTAAACTTTTAGATGAAATAGTCTTTTAATATGATATCGAGTCTTGATTAACCAAAACGTCCCGAGTTCAAATCTCATTATCCTTAATTTCTCTAAGCTTTCACTTGAGAAGCTTTTAACTAAAATAGTCCTTTAACGAAGCTTTACATCTATTTTCATTTATCTTATTGAGAGAGTGAGAGAACGAGTTGAGAATGCAAAAGAATAATTATTAAAAAAAAAAAAAGAAGATGATGATGATGATGATGATGAAGGGAGGAAGATTAGGGTTTCAATCTTAGAAAAAGCAAAGTGAGGGATCTGGAAGATTTAGGAAGTTTAGGGTTTCAATCGAAGAAGAAGAAGAAGCAAAGTGAGGGATTGGATGATTTAGGAAGCTTAGGGTTTCAATCAAAGAAGAAGAAAAAGAAGAAGAAGCAAGAAAGCTTAGGTTTTTAATCGGAGAAGAAAAAGAAAAAGAAGCAAAATGAGGGATTGAAAGATTTAGGATTCAAAGAAGAAGAAGCTCAAGGAATGCAAAATATTTAGTCTATGTTTAGTAAGAACAATGAACGGAGAGAACAATGGACTTTGGGACAAAAGAGTGGAGGTAAATTTATCTTTTTCTATCCTTTTTAAAAACCTAAATGTTTGTTTAATATTAAAATTATTTTAAAGCTTTTTTTTTCAATTTGGTTCTTATACTAAAACAATTAGGGTCTACATTGACATATGTGTCATGTACGATTGGTTATCATTAATTTTAACTTATCACGTAAAGTGAATATTTAACAACATTATAACTAAGGGTCCGAATCACAAATTTATAAAAGTAGAAGATTTTAATTAAGTTGAAAAATTATAAACGGCCTCAATAAAAAAAAAAAAAAACTCGAACCATACAAGAAAAAAAGATGGGGTAAACCCTTTTTAGTTATATATATAATGTATTAAATTGGCCAAATTAAAAAATTAAGTTAACAAATGAAACTTTTCTAATCAACCTTTTGTTACAAATTAGGGGATTCTCTCTTGAGTCTATTTTAGAATTTTTCTCATGAGTTAGCAATCACGGTAATAATAATAATAATAATAAAATCATCATTATTTTTATATTTCGGTTCCTTCTTTTCTTAATAACCCTAAATTTAATATTCACTCTATTAGAATTTTTTTTTAATCGAGTTTATCTAATATTTTCCTCGGTTTAAAGTTTGTTTTTCCTATTTTATTGTATTTTTATGTCCTTATTTAGGTTTTAGTATTGCAATAGAAGTTTTATAAATATTGTTAATAATTCAATTTTCATATCTATTGGTCAAATTTGAGTGAAAAATTAACATAACATAGGTACTAATGACTTACGAAAAAATAGCAAGCAAGTTTTAAGTCTTTTAAAATTTTTATTTTATGTTTTTTTACTGTCCTTTCATGGCATGTAATCTCCTTTTTCTCTACATAAAAAGAACTATATGTATCTTTGATTGAATTCGATTTACATGTAAATTTTTTTTTCAATTTCAATGTAATGAATATCTATCTTTGACAAAATAAATAAATAAATATTGTGTTGATTATTATCTAAAGTAATATTAAATTTATTCAAATTTTGTTTTTCTTACAAGAAAATAATATAAATGTTTAAAGAATAGGATTATAGAAGCTCGTGCATGTGCACACGCACGTGTACATGCATGCGCGCGCACACACACATATCTTACCAACACAAATATATAATAATTTTATAAATAAATCATATGACAAGTAAATTACTTATATAACACCATACATTATTTGCTTAATAAGATTCTTATGTATTACCTTTCCAATTCATTTGGAATAAATAGTTACTTTTGTAAAAAAAAAAAAAATAGTTCTAATGACAAATTAAAAAATATTAAAACACTTTTTAATCATTTATTAGATTTCCTTAACCATTTACTTTTCTGATTCTGAATAAATAAATAACCTCCCAAAATTACAAATTTCACAAGGGACGTTGATGGAAATACCATAAAAACATATGCCAAATTACAATAAATTCAAAGACCAACCCCTCTATCACAAAACAGAACCGAAAAACAAGCCGTAAACTAAAACCCCACAAGGAGAGTGAGAAGAGAAAAACTAAAAACAACCCATAAACTAAAACCCTACAAGCAGAGTGAGAAAAGCGCATTTCCAGCCACAGTCAAGAAGAAAAGGAAAAAAGAAAAAAGAAAAAAAGAAAAAGATGAACAAGAAGAAGATATTCAAACTAGCAAAAGGGTTCAGAGGAAGAGCAAAGAACTGTATAAGGATAGCAAGAGAAAGAGTTGAGAAGGCCTTGCAGTATTCTTACAGAGATCGCCGCAACAAGAAGAGGGACATGCGTTCTCTTTGGATCCAACGCATCAATGCTGGCACCCGCCAACATGGTGTAAGTCCTTTTTTTTTTTTTTTTTAAGGCGTCTCGTTGATGGGTTTTTCTTTTGTCATTGAATGGTATTTCTTTTCTGGGTTGTTGTTGTTTTTTTTTTTTTTTTGTGAATTCTTGATTTTTCTTTGTTTAGCTGCGTTTTTTTCTTATTTATTTACTGATTGGCAGTCTGAATTGAAATTAATTAGATGGAAATGTTAGAAACTGTAGAACTTGATCTGCCATTTTTATAAAGCTTTATGTTTTGAGGCTTTTAGCTGCGAACTCAGATGAATTCTAGTCTCTCTTTCATTTTTCCGTCGATAAAATTCCGTAATAGAAATAGAAGTTTTTATCTTGATTTTTCTTCTAGGATGTGTTTGGCAATGACAAGGTTTGGTGTTTCAAAGGCTTAATCTTGGCTGATAAAATGTTGGTTTGTAAGCAATGAAAGTTTTGATAGTGTGAAATTTGGTATTATGGTGGATCAGTAAATTGCGTTGGAGAGATCCTTTCTATTGATATGGGAGAAGAATTTGTAAATTAAGATTTGGTTGTATAACCTTCTCCAATTTCTGTTTTTTAGAGCAATTGTTTATTTTGTTTGATGTATGCATAGAGGGAATTGAAAGTGCAGTGAAGCATATAAAAGAGAAGTGGTTTTGGAGAAAGTTAGAGCCTTAAGGACTCTGCTTTTTCAGTGGTTGATGTGGCAGCTACATGTCGGTAATAAAGAGCAGAATGGCTCTCGTTTGCTTCGGATGAAATTGACAAACATGCATGCTAAGTTGCATATTTATTTTTATTTTTGTCATAATGGGAAATGGTGTTGCTTATCGTGCTTTTCGCCTGCCTCTTTTAATAGACTTGAGTCAAGACTTGACTTTTGAGTCATGTTACGAACAGGTTATTAGATTAGAGTGCTGCTGAAATCAACTTTTACGTGGGCATTTAGTACTATATGGAATTTACCAAGTGTTCGACCTGATCCATGTTGTTTTCTGAACTTGTTTCTATACTTTCTCTTGTAAATATTGCTTTGCCATGCTGTATTGGTTGTTGAAGCTTTACTGGAACAAGCAAACCACTGTGTGAATAAAATACCTTTATCGGATTTAATTGACCAATGGAGCTAGTGGCTTGTTATTATTGTGCCAATTGTAGCACATGTTGGATGATTCTGTTGTCAAGGCATGGAATTGTGAAATAGGTTATATTCATTGATGTAGGAACTAGGAAGGGAGATGAAGTGGTCCAATTGTTGGAGAAAGCATAAGACTTTTCTGAGTAACAAGATTTGTGGGGATTTTGAGTTTTATAGAATGCAATACTTTGCTTGGGACTTGTCCAGATGCAGCTTGATGTTGGAACTTTACTTGGAATTAGGTTATGATTACAAGTGCCCACGAGCTTAAGAGTTCGAAAAAATCTGGCAAAAGAATCATAATTCAAATGTCGGCAGTTAGATTGATCTCTATGGCACGAGTTGGTTTGGAATTATGAAGTACTAAACAAAACCAACAAATGTGAAAGTTTTCTTTTCCTTTTTCTTTTCTTTCTATTTTCTTTTTCCTTTTGAAAGGAGGGAGGGGGAGGAGAATCCTGGTTTTGTTTAATCTACTTATTCTAGATTTCAACTTCCTTTTCTTTTCTTATATATAACAAAAACCAGAAAAATCAAAGTTGAATTGACTTCTTCTTTACATTTTGGAGCACATTAATGTATGTTTGGTAGAACAATTTAAATATTTTCCTAACAATGAAATTTCTGCATTGTCGGATACTGACCTGTGTTGTCTTGTGCTCCTCTATTTTACTTATCATTATCAGGTTAATTATGGTAACTTCATGCATGGGTTGATGAAGGAGAATATTCAGCTAAACAGGAAAGTCTTATCAGAGATATCCATGCACGAACCATATAGTTTCAAGGCCTTGGTAGACATTTCGCGTGATGCCTTTCCTGGAAACAAAAACGTGGTGCATCCTCCCAGGAAAGTGGACATATCTGCTCTTAACGTGTAGTTCTTTAATTGGATATTTTGGTAATTCACTCTTTTCATAGCCTTTTGGAGCTTGTCTGAAACAAAAGCTTTAAATAGGTAGCTTTGTATTTCTGGGGTAGTTTATTACCTCTCTGTCTCTGAATATATGGATGAATGAAAATAACTGGATATTCTGAAGAAAAGAAATGATCTCTGGCCAGTTACATTTCGACATTTAAGGATGCACAATGAGTTGAACAAACATGATAAATTCTTCAATTTTCAAAATGAAGAATAGTTTCTGACATTCATGAGAAAGAATCTGATCATCTTAGAAAATTTCTCCCCTGCTGTAACTCTGTTCTGTTTCTATAGCATTTGGAATTTGCTTGCATTGTTTGATCTCTATCGCCGAACTTTGAATTTACTGACCGTGGCCTGTCATGAAGCTAAATTGATGTTTTTAGAGATTAACTTCATAAATTCTTCTCTGCATTTGAACTTATTTGCGGAAAATGGCATTGAATGATCACTATTGTCCCTTTAAGAGGAATCCTCATTTGTCAAGTTTCCTTATGTCCGCAGTCTCTAACGACAAAGCTCCAGCTTGAGGAGTTTGTAAGGTTTAACTGTGAGCTCAATATGAAGAGTGAAACACAATTTCATGATTATTGCCGCAATAGATAGGCACTGCGTGTGCATGACAACATGGCGAAGATGTATTTAGAGGGTAAAACTACGAAACAAGTTCAGATCCTGTTTGTAGGATACAACACTGGACCGGAATATTACCAGTCCAAAAACTAGGAAGTTGTCCGTTACTGCAAACAGAAGAATCGGGGACGACAAATGCATTTTCCTTTCCAGTCCACTACCCAAGAGATGATGCGATCTACTTTTGGAAATCTATAAACTTTTGGGGCCCGTTCTATTTTTGTTCACTACGGAAAAAAAAAACAAGGAAATGAAGATTAATATATCTGTTACTCCATTGGTGTTATTTTGTAAGCAATGGATTCTTGCAGGTTAATTTCCAGAATCCATCCTGCTTTGTTGAAGCAGATTAATTGCAATCCACTATGCAGGCATCGATCTCATGACTATGAAACTTTATTATCTGCGAGTGAATCGTATGTATGCATTTGCAAAGTTGACAAGCAAAGCACACGGGCACAGTAGCAAAAAGAGAGGCAGAAGATTTGCAATATGAAATAGCAAAGTTAACCAAATGGCTTGCATTTCTGAGACAATAAACCATTTGCAAATCAAATTCACCCAAATGGCTACTTCCATGATAAAAGGCTTATTTACACTTTTTATTTATTTATTATTTTTTGAAGCTTTATATTCGGTTAACAAACTTTGATCTTACCATAAAAAATTCAAGGAAGGGATCAACAAGGCTGTCATAAAGATAATTTGGTTATCATATGATATTTTCAGGCATCCAATGATTCCACAATAACTTTCTGTCAAATCTGTGGACTAATTCATGATAACTTCACATCAATCAGTTGGCTTTCTTGACTTTGTTTCATTTGCAGACATATGATTATGACTCCTTGGAAAGTAGTTGGTGGAATTCAGGGGGAGTACTATTAAAAAAAAAAAAAATCTCAATCGCTCGAATTAATTTGATTGATAAATTCATTAAAAATTTTAGGCAACGAGGAATTCGGGTAATTATTTAAAAATTTTAGAGCTGGGTAATACTCGCAAAAATTTGGGTTGCCGGAATTATATGTATTTTTTATATATAAATTTTTAAACTAATGGGTTAATTTGAAAGTTTCCTTCACCTAATTTTAGCTAGTTAATTGTAGATTTTTTTTATTATTTGATGGAAAAAAATCAGTTTATCCGAATTATTCAACGAGTCAAGTAAATTCGAATAATAAAAAAATAATTGGATCATTCGAATGTTAACGAGATAATATAAATCATAACTTAAGTCATCATTTAGATATTTGAAAATATCACATAATCATCGACTTTTCAATAATAATATTATTATGAGCATTGTTTTCATTTTTTAGTATTGTTTTGTTGATTAATGATGTATTCAATAATTGATCTTGAAAGAGACTACTAGAGTTTCAAGACAATGTTGCTAGCAAATTGCATGTATGCATGAGCCAATTAGTTGACTAGCAAATTAAACACACCCATAAAAAACACACAGAGGAAGGAAGAAATTATAAATTACATGGATTATTCAGTTAATCCAAGAAAATAAGGGCTGGTTTTTGGACCAATGAAAAACCACAAGTGCTCAAAGTGAAGCCATGGCACTTGAAAAGGAATTAAACACAGTGTTCTCTGTTCATGAAGCGATAGTCTCAGTTTCATCAATAGATCACCAAGTAATTAAAAGGGTTTCTGAATTTCCGTGCTTCAACTGATAGTTCATTTTCAGCCAAAGACAATAGCTTGACAAGCTGCAAAACAAAGATATTGATTAGACCATGCCAAAGAAGTCAAATGGCTAAGACTAAGCCTTTGTTCCTCTACTCGACATCCAATATCAAGCTCTTTACATTACAGGCTAAAGCATCGCTAACCCAGGAATCATAAGCCCCCCTGTGAGAAGGCTCACATGAATCACATAGCCAACGAAAACGAAGCCATTCCATTCACTGGCCATTGCGTAATCTCAATCTCAGAAACTTACTGAGAAATTCCTTAAACTGTCTGCACTTGGGCGTCACATTCATGTGAATCAAAATCAACATCGAAATGCAAGTAAGGACTAGAAATGCATATCTGTTGATAGCTTTTCGAGGCGAAGCTAAGCCGAGCAATATCATTATCCCCAAGGAATGAAATTATGTGATGAATAATATGCTCTTGAAGTCCCATGAGTCTAGTTCAGTGCCATAAACTTTGATGGTATCTCCTTTAAGCTATCAAAAGCCCTCGTAGCTAATGCCAACTTATCACATAACAGAAAGGAAGGAAAAAAGAAGAAGAAGAAGAAACAAAAGTCAACGGTATTGTTAGATTTTTTTGTGGACCCTTTTGAGCTGGTTGCTTCCTTTTCTTAAACTCCTGACTTTCTGCAATAACCTATAAAAAATCATGCGATACCATAGAACTTTTTTTTAGAAGCAAGGAAAAGAAAAAAGTTAATACAACCAAGTCAAACTACAAGAAGGCAGGACTAAATTTTAAACACTACATACCTCAAATTGTTATTGAAAAAACTTAAGCAAAGCTTCAAGTTTCAGCTTCAAAAATTGATGGAGGAGACCAAACTTCAAGTCACTAATTAATAATGTTTATCAAACTTGTTGGTTAACTTAGAGTGAGAAACAGAAAACAGCAAAATCAGAGTTATTTGAGTCGTACAAGTTGAGAGGACACAGAATTGATGAACAAGTTAAAAAATTTTACTCCTATTTCCTTATCTGTTGACCCTTTCCAATGTAGCCTGTAATTTTCAGAACCTTTCGATATCATCCCTTCATGTTTATCTCTGGATGAAACAAGTACTATTAACTATACTAATAAGTGAAGTCCAATCAAGTGGTTAAAGGGGTTTGTGTCCTCATTTTATTTTTTTAAACGAGGTTGTAAAATTTTTTTTTTTTTTTTGTAAATGCTTTAGTCTAAGTATAGATCGTTTGCTTAAGAATCGATGATAGAGAGATTTAGTTTCAACATGTAAAAGATGGTTTAAAAATATCCTCACTACAAAAGCTTAAAAAGAAATAATAGCCTTTTTATTTTTTTAATAGTCAATAGTGATGTTCAAGCCAAAAAAAATAGCTGTCTCGATTTTTTATCGAGAAAATGGTCGTTAGAATGTTGCCAGAAATTATGAACAATGGCGCCAAAAATTTATTGTCAGCTGCAATACAAAGGCAGACGACGCATCATTCCTTACGAAGGACGTGTAGTTCACCTTTTTTTTTTTTCCTTCTTGTATTTATCCTTGGACCATTTTTTCCTTGTTTTTTTTTCTATTAGTTTTTCTTTTCTTTTCTTTGATTTTTCTATTATTTATTATTTTTTCAATATCACTATTCTCCAAATATTCTATTTAATTTTTTCTATTTTTCATGCAATCTTACATAAAAATGATGATTTTTTTTTTTTTACAATAATAAAGGATAATTAATCAACCTACGATGTATTTTAAAAAAAATTAAAGACAATAACATTAATCCAAGATTGAAAATAACATCAATTTTTTTCTTTAAAACAAATATAATCGCTCATCGTAGATTAACGAGTTAGAATAGAAGATGATCTAAATAATAAGAATTTGATAGTTAATCATTTATATTAATTTTTGATTGATTGTATGCCACTTCAAAATTAATTATAATGTTTTGACATGTATTAAAAACTAATATTAAGAATATGTTGGTTCAAAATAAAATAAAATTAATTTAACTATCAAGAGAATAAGAAGATTTTTTAATCAATAAACTCGTTCATTAAAATTAATTACCTTTCCAACATGGATTTCCCGAGCACCCTTTCGTTATCGACTTTTGCATTCTTTTAAATTTTAATTAGATTTTTAGGTGACATATATAATAAATTGCATGCTTATGTTTTTCATTTATTAAAATTATATTTAAAATAAAAAATAAGTGATATTAAATATAAAAAAATACAAATTAAATTTAAAAAACTGCAATCAATATAGTTTGATTTTGATTTTTCTTGTTTAAATAATTAAAATTATTTAAATATTGAAACAAGTTTTAAAAAATTATCCACAGCAACTTATGAAGGACAACACTAGTTATTATAATAAAACACAACCTTTCATTGATTAACTATTTTTATAGCTTCCCTTCTCCATCATCTAAGACCTTTTCCCCTAATCAACTAATCTCTATTTTTATCTCTCATGGTTAAATAGCTAACAAAAGTGGTTATTTCTTTACATCCTTTTCTTTTATATTTTCCTCCCAAATTTATATATGGATGACAATATTTTACAAGAATTCAAAAAAATCCAAAAAGAAATAAGAGAGAATCACAAATTCACATTGAAACTTATCAATAAAATTTTAAATAATGAGATCAAAGTATAATATTGGAAACTTAAGGGACCAATATAGTTTATCCAAATTTAATTCTGCACCTCTTGGTGCATGCCGCAGTCGGCATTCACCAATCGCGACGTATAAAAGCGTATAACAAACGCCAACACGTGACCCAATCCCAACTTCTACTCGCTAGATCTCCATCTCCACCGCGACCGCCACCATGGACCCCCAACCCCAACCACAACCACAACCCCAACCACAACCACAACCACAACCACAATCTCAACCACCAGCCGCCGCAACCAAACTCCGTCTAATGTGCAGCTACGGTGGCCACATAATCCCACACCCCCACACCAAATCCCTTTTCTATTCAGGTGGGGACACCCGCATCATCACCATCCCTACCGCCGCCGCCGCCAACAGCCTTACACTCTCCTCTTTAATCACTCACTTATCAACAACTCTGAAAATAACCACACCAATCGTTCTAAAATACCAACTTCCACATCACAATCTTGATTCTCTCATTTCACTTTCCACTGATGAAGATGTCCTTATCATGCTTGAAGAACACCATAACAACCGTACACCTTCACGTATTAGATTATTTGTCTTTCCAAACAAAACCATTTTGAGTCTGCCCGAATTAAAGGCTGCAACTCAGTTAAATCACCCGAAGACTGAAACTTGGTTTGTTGATGCATTGAAGAATGCAAAGATTGTCAATCTTGAGGGTAATGGTAATAATGGTGGTGGGTTTTGTGGAGCTGAGTCTATGGTTTTGGAAACTTCTTCTTCTTTTGGGTCTTCTTCGTCTTCCGTTTCGTCGTCGAATCTGGGTGTTAAAGGTGGTTTTGTTGAGGATAATGGGACTGGTTTGGTGGATAATAAGGTTAAATTGTCTACCTCAGAAGGAATTTCAAGGTATCGAGTATTGATTTTATGTTCTCTTTTGAGTTTTTAAGGTTAGTTTTGCATTTCTTATTGGATAGTTCAAATTGACATTTTTAGTAGAAATTTATTTGAGTTAATTGATTGCGTCGTTGATTGTTATATAATCAATTGCTAGGTATTATGTAGTAAATGTTTGATTTTTATGTTTCAGGAATGAGTTTCTTCGGTCTGTTAATTATTATTTTTTGAAAATTTTGAAAAGAATGCAAATGTTGTCTTGATGTGGTAAAATTATTTTCTTTTGATGGTGATGAGTATAATTGATTGTTATTATTATTACTATTTTATATATAATGTTTTTAGTTTTTGATGTGTTTTATGTTGGTATGAGTTTCCAAGGTCTGTTCTTTTTTATACGTGAAAATCTGTACAAAAAGAAAATTTGGATATTTTTAGATGTTAAAGTTATGTTCTTTTGGGTGTAAATGAGCGTAGATGGTTGTTGTAACTTTGGTTGTTGCAGTGATCATGGTATGGGAACTGCAGTTTGTCAGGATCCACAGTTTGTGACGTATCAAGATCCAGTTGGTGCTGTTACTTCAGGGGAGAGTAAAGTTTCTTTTATAAATCCATTCGAATCAGAGAGTAAAATCCCTGATCCTCCTCCTCCCATGGGGTTTGACATGCATAAAACAGCTCCTGTTTCTGGGTATCCAGTGTCTTTTCAATATGATCAGCCGCAACAACTGCAATTCGTTCAAACAAATGCCCCACATTATATACCCCAGAACTCAAGTGTAGTGCCAATGTCTTCTTACTATATGACGAGTTCTCCAGTGCCTCAGCAGCAGGTCTATTATCAGACCAACCAACCTCAGCCGATATACTTAGTGCCTGTTGCGCAGCCATACAATTTTCCTGTGCAGAGTGGTTTGATGAACACTGCAACAGTTGCCTCTAGTCGTCCTCCAATGCATCCCAATTCTTCTATGCACCCTGCTCAAGTGTCTTACAATGTCTCTGCTGCTTTACCTGCAACTGAGTTAACTTCACAAGTTTATAGAACAATCCCAAGAACAAGTTCACCTGTTACTGTACCTCACAATGAAAATCAGCATCAAGGTGGAGGACTTCCACAAATGAATCACCAAGCTCAGCCCTTATATGCTGCTTCCATGGAGAGTAGTAACTATAGTAAAAAAATTGATGATGATCCTGTACATGCTCAAATATACAAGTCTCAGCCTCCGCCTCCATCGTTGCCTTCTCAGTACCAAACCATGACCCCAGCCACAACAATCTTGTTATCAGAGGCTATGGCACAGTTAAATACCGATAATATTAAGCAGCAACAGCCAAGAACCTCGCAGCCACAATGAGCAAGGTCTACAGTCAAACAATTTGGGGACAACTGTTTTTGGTTACTTGGACTTTCCTTCTTGGATTTTAAATTTTGGAAGTATAATGTGTTATTAGTCTTTAATAGAAATGATGTTGCACTCTTCCTTCCCTTTTGTTTTGTCTTTCTTTGTCTGTATTACGGTAACATTGTTGTTACTTTGTTTAGGTACTTAAGGTTATACAACTAAATTCATACAATAATACTCTGTGCTTGAACAATCAGTGTAACTGTTGCTTTACTTCAATCATACTTTTGTTTTTTCTGTCTGTTCTAAGCTCCTGGAGTGTCTGGGTGGAGTGCAGAACATTCACATGCTCAATTCATGTTGATTTTTATTATTATTATTTTTTGAAACAAGGGATTTATATGTTTAATTTTTTGTGATGAAATTAAGTCTCTTGGGGTGTGGGTGTGGGTGTGTGTGTGTTTGTGCTTGTGTGTAGAGGCTATTCCTTATTCAGCTCAAAATCATTAGCTACAACTGGCTATGCTTTATTTATTTATTTGTTGTTTGATGGCAAGTATGCCTTCGTTTCTTTATTCCTGGACATGGTTAGCTTTCGTTAGTAGCTGATGGGTAATGACTAGCTTTCATTGGTAGTTGGCGGGGTTAATGCATACAAAGTCTAGGAACTTGTCATGCATTTTTACCATTAATTATTGCCTGCAATACTGCCAACTTTTGAGCAGCGTTAGATCAAAGTTTTCACCTTGCTGAGGATGTTGTTGAAGGTTTTATGGAAGGAACTAAATCTAATTGTTGTGCTTTACAGGCTTTTCATTTCAGTTTGTTTCGTTCTGGTTACTGTCCATTGATATTTGTTTCATTTCTTCACTGCATCCACGATAAGCATGTGTTCAATTTGTAAGACAAACAAATGGAGCACCGTCTACTTTATTTAATGAAATTCTTGGTGATTAGTGCTAAGCATGCAAGTAGTCCAATTTTTGTTTCTGTTAACCATCCTCGTCTTTTTAGGCTATCCATAGACATTTTAGATTATCCTGCCATGATCCTTGCCATATTTTGCCTTATTTCTTTGCTAATAAAGGTTGTGTGCAAAAGTTACATGTATGCAGAAATAATGTGCATCTTTATATTAGAGTCAAGGCTGTTTAACTTTAATCCAAACCCAGTTCAGTTTCTGACTCCAGATAGTTTGATCATTATGAAATGCTTCACTTTTTTGAGGGAGTGTTTTGTTGATATCCAGATAGGGTATAGGAGGAAGAAATTCCAGTAATTAGGAGTACAAGCCACAAGGTGACAAAATCATGGAAAGTAACAATAAATATGCTGTACGACTTACATGTTTTAGCACAATAGATACTGCAAGATTCAGATGTACATGGGGGTAAATAGGAGTTCAATGTGAGGCAACCTATGCCTACCAAACAGGAGGGGAAATATTTGTAGCAGATTAGTAGTTCAACCCTTAGGAACAACGCATCCATTGATTTCCTTATTCTGAGGAGGGTATATATACTAATTCTCCTTTGTGAAAAACTAATTTTAAGTCAACGAGGCCAATCTTCCCAGATTCTCACTCACATTCTTCATGGAGGGTCTCTTGTCAGGGCTTGCATGAACACAGGCCAGAGCAATCTTAAGTACTGCAACCATCTCATGTTCCTTGTCCAGATCACGAGCTAAGAAGGGATCTAGGGCTTCTGATGGTGGTTTCACTTCGATGCTAAGCTGAATCCATCGGACTAGATCCATTCCTGACAGACTTATCTGCATAATTGGTGACTTCCCAGAAATGATCTCCAATAGAATCACCCCAAATGAGTAAACATCCCACTTCTGTGATGGTTTTATGATTTTTGAGGACTCAGGAGCTTCGTAACAAGACCCAGGCGTGCTTGAATGTGTTGGTGTCAGTGCATATGGAGAACCTTGTTGTGATGTTCCGCTTGTCATTTGTTCCCCTTGAATTGGCAAGGATTCCTCACTTGTATAAGCAAAGCAGCTGAGTCCGAAATCGGAGATGAGGGGCTCCATGTTCTCTCCGAGCAGTACATTGCTAGTCTTTAAATTTCCATGGACGTACCTTTTGGGACTGCATTCATGTAGAAAAGCTAAGCCCTTGGCTAATTCTTTGATGATTCTAAGTCGAATAGACCATGAAAGAGGCTTGAAGTACGTCATTCCTGTTCTTCCTGGTCAGATATTGAAGAAAAGGATTCAGAGCAATTAATGTGAGGAATGAATGTGATTTTTCATGGAAAACGGCATCATCAACATGTAGCTAACTAACTATTTAAGTTTCCAACATGGGGAGTTAGGCGGGTTCTTACCATGAATTGCAGTGGCAAGGTCTCCATTGGGCACATAATCGTAGATAAGCAACTTCTCGTTGATGCACCAGCAATAAGCTAGTAGGCTGACAATGTTTGGATGTCTAATTTTGCCAATTGCTTCAACTGCAGTTTGAAACTCCTTGAACGTCTGAGAACCTCCATCTTCCAGTCTTCTCACTGCCACAGTTAGCCCCTTTTCAAGAACAACTTTATAGACGATCCCTATACCGCTCTTTCCAACCAGAAAAGCAGATGCTTTGAGAAGTTGGTCAAGATCAAAAGTGACCTTCGAGTCTAATGGAACAAAGGTGTACTGTTCCATAGTTTCTGATAGAGATTCCAGGTCATCAGTTCTGAAGCAGAACATTTCCTTTCTAACCGTTGATTTTTCTTCAAAACTACAGCTCTGAGTACGTTTGCTTTCTTTACTACCGTAAACCTTCTTGTACCAGTAACAGAAAGATAAACCAACTAGGCAAATGCCTGCCATTGTACCTGCAACAGTTGCAATCACAACCAAGCACCATTTTCCTTCCCCATGCTTGCCTGAGCTGTCTCCTACTGCCAAGGGTTTAGGATCCATATTTGGAGGGGGAGTGGCTGGAGGGCATTGAGTTTTCAGAGGAGGCCCACAAAGTAAAGGGTTGCCAATAAAAGCAGTTGGACCTAAATTCACCAGAGCATCATTTTGTGGTATTGCACCGCTAAGATTGTTGTATGTGAGATTAATATAAACGAACTCGGGGAGATTTCCTAGACTTGCTGGAATAGGGCCATCGAAAAGATTGTGAGATAGATCAAGCACTCCTTGCAAGCTTGACAAGTTGCCTAGGCTGCCAGGGATCGAACCCCTGAAGCTGTTATGTGAAAGATTCAGTGTCTGAAGCATAACCAAATTGGTCCCTAATGCATCTGGTAGAGAGCCTGTGAAACTGTTTCGACTGAGTACGAGATTCTTCAGTCTCTTGCATTGAATAAGAGATGAGGGTAATGACCCATTGAAAGAATTTTGCGAAAGATCTAGACGCTGTAGGTACTTGAGGTTCCCTATCTCATCAGGGACTGGCCCGGAAAATGAGTTTTCGGAGAGGACCAAGGATTTTAATCCTATTGTGTTAAAGAGTTCGACAGGCAAGCGTCCGAAGAAGTGGTTGTTCCCGAGATGAACATGATTCAATGCAACAAGCTTACCAGTATCAAGTTGCAGAATCCCTGACAGTCCTTTATTCGGAAGCCTGACAGAAAAGACCTTTCCTTCTCTGCTACAAGTAACTCCATACCACGAACACGGGTTTAAATCTGTTGACTTCCAGTTGTCTAGATAACGAGAGTCTTCCATCGATTGCTTGAAGGATAGAAGAGAAAGACCTTCATCGTTAACAGAACCAACAAAAGTAACGTAGTGGACAATAAAGAAAACGAGAGAAAAAAATTGCAGAACCATCTCTATAAAAAGGCAACTGCCGAATGGAGTTCAAAGGAGAAATGCCAGTAGTTGTGGGATCATCTTGTGCGCTAAAGGAGGTTAGAACGGCGGAAAAAAGAGAGTTTCTTTACTGCTTTAGTGCTTTGTGTTTGCTGCTGGACCTTATATGACCTTGTAGGAAGTAGCCACTGTTGGTCACAGTGCAGACTGGGAGAAACAGGTCAATGCATCCCTAATGTTTCCTACAGCCAAAAACATGTGCTCTTCGCACTTGCTTTCACTAAACGCAAACTAAAGTTTGAATTATTGCTAGACAACATTAATTGAATGGAGCTTATTGTAGCATGCTTTCAATACCAGAATTATACACGCAGACAATTCATCATAGTTAATCATTACCTGTCAAGAACTATGGTCGGTCAAGTTAGTGGTGTTATCTGGTCTTTAACATCTTTGAAGCTGAAAGGGTAAGCTGTGATTTGAATTTCATAAACTTCAGTGAGGTTGACACTTAAGGAATAATGATCTATTGAATCCAGTTTTTAGCGTGATTGATGGCGTTATTAGGTGCATAAAAACGTCACTGAATGGGTGGTTTGGTACGACTGTTTGACTTTGAAGCTAACAGGGTTGGTTTGTTTTGCCTTGCTGTGACCGGTGGAGGACTGAAGTCTTTACTCCTTGTATGACTTCTCCAAATTGGGCATTTAGACAAGTCTTGGAGTCCCTTGCCGACCGGGCTGCCTCCTTCCAGAACCGAAAGAAAAAAATTCGCGCCATTTATACTGAGAAAGTTAATTTGGAGCCTATTTAGGATGCATTTAAACATAATTTAGAATTGTACAGTGTTTGGTGTACATTTTAGACAGAGTAACGATTATTTTTTGACACGTTTAAAGTTGCTTCAAAAACAAAATTCTTATCTTACTATGAGATGGAACAAGCTTATTCAATATCATGGATAAAATTATTATTTTTCAATTTTTCATGTTATCTATTTATTAATAATTGTTCGTAGAGTTTAATTGTAAGGAAATTTCTAATTCAAGGACTAAATTGCATATACTAAAACAATTAAAAGACGAAAAAAATTTCGTTAAGAACTAAAATCGAAAAATGTCATGAAAATAAAATATAGAAATTAAAATAAATTGTTAAAAAAGACAAATTCAAAGACCAAAATAATTTTTTGCAAAAAACTTCATCCTTTTTGTGTATCACACACAGAACAAAGAACATGTATTTATTTAATCCAGTCAAATGTTCCCACTTAAAAGAGAGAACATGATAATAATAATAATGATAAGTCTTAATAGTTATTCTTTTGAGTATCATAAAACTTCTTTAGTCTAATATCATCATCTATTATCCAATCTAATTCTGTCTAATTCGGTTCAATTCCATTCCATTTATCAGATTATATCTAGCATGCCAAACACACTTATAAAGGTCATATCAAACTTTGTACTACATTTTGCTTCATAGAACTTATCATCCCACTGCAAAGGGAATATTAAATAAGGAAAATAAAGAGGGCCATGATCAAAAGAAGCATGTCCGGCTTAAATAATGATTGCTTTGTAGTTTGTTAGATATGGTCTGAATCTGTTGGTGCCGCTTTAGTAAGATGTCAGATTCGAAGCTATACTTTCTTTTATATATATATATATATATATATATATAGTTTTTCCTAATTATTTTCATTTTAAATTAGAGATAAAGATTAATGATGTTAAATAATAATATTTAATTTTTTTTAACATATGTGATTTTAAAATTTAAATATTACGCATAAAAATTTATTTAAAAATAAATTCGCTTGATTCAAAGTTATTTTATAAAAAAAGTTAGAAAAGTCGCTTTTTTTTTTTTTTTTTTTGGTTTAAAACCACTTGCAGTACAATTTATTTGCAGCCAAGGTGGGTAAAGTTAAGCCAGAAAAGGAGTTCTTGACAATAAATGATCAAGCCATCTACCCTGATTTGTATATATATATATATATATTCTTGGCTCAAAGCATCATTGGACAAACACATTCTATATTTTTTTTTTAACCTGAGACAGCTAAGAACCAGATATGGTAACCGAATAGATGCCATTACAGCTGCGACTCAAACATGCTACAGTTCTACACAGCTTGAACTAAGACTGTTTATTGGAATTATCGTATTGTTAGGCCTTAATCTGTCTTTTCTCAGTGCTTCTAAAAGGAAAAAAAATAAAAAAATGGGGCAAATTGGAAGTAAAGTTCATCTTAAATTTTTATAGAGACATTTCTCTTCTCTCACTATCGATATTAGATGTATTCCACGCATTCTCCAGCATTTTTTTACTGTAATGTTTATGTCACTTTCAGGAGAAAATTAATTTTAATAGACAGAGCATGCAGTAGGGAATAATTCTCATGCGTGGACTCTTCAATTTATCTAGACATATCTGTCTTAGAAACATCCTAGATACCTCAAAGACACATGAATACTTGGGTATGATGTTTCGTTTTGCATTGCCGGTTAATCTATTGGATACTAATTTCCTTTTTTTTTCTGCGTCATGGTTTTGAGGATGTATCAATCTCAAAATTATTCTTACAACAATAAACAAGGAGACAAAATATTACCATTCAACAGATATTCCAATATTCCATAGGAGATACGTGGTGTTTTAATCTTTTTTCCTTGCAGTTTTGTTTTTTGTCCAGTAAGATAGAAACCTTGTTAACATCTTGTCTGAAATCCCTTAAAGAAAAAATCTTATCTGCAATTGTCTAACACCAGACGAAACAGAGAATATAATTTGCCAATCAAGCATCTGTGTATGGTTTGCATGAACGTTTACTTAATTTTGCTGTCCTCCTTTACACCAGTGGTCTGTATGTCTATGTTTCCAGTTGTCTATTGTTCGATTAATTCATGTGGATATGTAGGATCTGCTGTCTAATTTCAGGAATTTACAGATGCTATATTCGTTTCTGTTCTCTCAAGGAGCATTTTATGAAAATGCAATCGTTAATCGTTCAGTCGTGTCATTTCATTTGCAGAATGTGTACTGTCGGCGACATAACAGGAAGACTCTTCCAAATTTTGATATCTTGATAGCCTGATGTGCTTCATGTGGATAAGTAGAAACTAAAGACACTGGACAAACAATGTAGGGGTGAATTGGTTTTTAGCTTATGCCAAAGGAAATTGCACTTCTATCTTTTTTTTTTTTTTTTTTAGAGAACTTCAGCGGTAAATCATCGTCTGCTGAACTACAGAACAAGAGCAATTTTAAGCACGGGATTGTGTATCCCAGATTCAGAAATGCGTTTGAGCACAGCCAAAGCATGCTAATAGAAATCAATAAAAAGGCGTATCCAGATTCAAAACAGAGCACACCAGAAATCTATGATTTAGATTTTCTTTCACTAAATTGTGATTTAGATTTATGCACAAGAACATTCATAGCATGACTGCTGCCTAGTTTGGGACTTTTTATCTTCGATTAACTAGTGAATGCCCTGCACCGGAGCTGCAGTTATTCTACATGAATGGTTCACACACAACCCACAATTGCTAGTTTCCAATGCATGAAAGTGAAGACAAATGAAACTTGGAAGACCAGCACTTTAGGAACTTTTGTTCCGAATGCTCACTGTATGCAGCTTCCTTTTTTTTTTTACTCCTCCAACTGAACCGTGATTACGAGGAGGAAAAAGGTAACTGCAGGAAAAAGGTAACTGCACATATCACATAGCCATAAAACATCTTACTGATCCTTGTTAACTCTCTTGCCGATGAAAAACTTGGCCAAATTTGGGACAGCTGTTCTTTTCTTCCTGATAGTGATTGAGGTTGATCGAGGAGTCGTTTTAGGAGTCATTCGGACTGCTGGAAAACCAGAATTTCGAAGCTTGGGACGTCTTGATGGAGTCAGATTACCATTAGCTTTCATGGGCTTCCTTGGCAATGGTTGTTGCGGGCTCTCAGCTTCTGAGTTTTTCTTGCTCATTTGTCTCCACTTTCTTAGCTCTCCCTCTACCATTCCTTTAGCAGATAATGAACTCTCAGTTCTATATATCTCTTGCTCTTCCTCTACCCTTGTCTCTTTGATACCTCTATGAGCTAGTTCTATTTTCATCAGTATCTCCTTTTCGCTGGCTTTCAATGCTTCAATCCATGCCTCAGCTGCTGCAACCTTTTTGTCTGCAATTTCTTCAGCCTTGGCTGCATGTCCGGTTAAATACTCATACTCAAATTTTGAGATGGTAATTGACGAACTATGTTGAGAAGCAGAAGCTCTAGATCTCATAGTATTCTGAATAACGTTTCGCAAGTTCCCAAGAGCTAAGGACTCTGATGTTTTGACTGCTTGAAGCTCCTGAATTGCAGCATGCAGTTTTTCTTCAGTCAAGTCTATTTGAGACTCGGTTCTGTGGATTTCTGCCTTGATGTTTGCAGTTTCTTTGCTGATGAGCTTCTTCTCTTTCCTTGCTACCTCCACATCGGTCTTCAACTGTTCAAGTGTGAGGGACAGACTGGATAAGATTGATTTTGCCTTTTCTTCAACTGCAGATGCAGTTTCCAATTTAGATTTTGCTCTGAGCAGTTTTGAATTCAGATTTTGAGCAGTTATATCAGATTTCTCTTTTGCTTTCTTCAACCGAACTGTTTCTGCTGTGACATGCCTCATCTCATTCCTTATGATATCCATTGAGGCCATGAACTGAAAACCCTCTTCCCTAATCGAAGCCAATTCTTTCTTAGCTGCCTGCAATTCTTCTGTTATGGACTCCAATGAAGGCAAATCCTCCGATCGCTTACCTTTCCGAAAACTGCCTCCCAGATACTTCATACTGTCATTTCTTTGTACCTTTGCATCCATATCTTTAGCAAGCTTTAGTTCATTCTGTAACAAATTCACATCATATAGCGTCACAGCCAATTTAGACTCAAGATCTATCGAGCTGCTGATTTCTTCTTTGACATTCTTCATTTTGTTCCTAGTTTCCTCCATTGCAGATGAGAATTCACTCGCTTCCTTCTCTCTTTGAGCTTGAATTTCTCCAAATTCTTTCAAGGCCTCAATCTGTGCCAACTCAACTAGCACTTGCTCCTCATTTGCCTCATCAATCTTCTTCCTGAGTGCTTCCACTTGACTCATATTAGACGATAATTGCAAACTTGAGCTTGCTATTTTCTTCTCTGCCTGTGTTTTCTCTTCCGAAACAGAAGCCATTTCAATCTTAAGATGACTCAGTTCTTGCTTCACATCTTCCAACTCCCTTATCACTTCTTCATATTGATGGCGCTCAGCACTCCCAGCAATTAAAGCCTTGTCTTGGCGCTCAATCAACTTCTTTAGTCTATCCATGTCTCCCATCTGAGCTTTTACCTTCAGGTTAGATTGCTCAATCTGTAAAGCAAGATCTTTCACTGTTCCTTTCGCCTCCAAGAGTTCTGATTCTGCTTTGCCTTTTGCCGACTCTGCAGCCTTACTACTCTCTTTATATCTAACCAAGTTTCTCTTTGCCATATGCAGCTCTTTGGCTCTTGAAGAAGACTTCTAAATGAATTCGAAAATACAATATTTGCTCAGAACACTTCAAACTAACTTGTACCCTTAAAATTAACAAAGTAATGTGGTTTAGCTGTTTTAATTATTTGTGTCAATTTTATCATACCTCAGGTAAATCCATCTGGGCTGGTTTCTTCAGAGAAGAACTACTACTTTCAAGAATTCTTTCTCCATACATGTTAACAGCTGCTTTCACTGTCCCAATTCTCTTCCTATCATCAAACACTCTCCTATCCATTTTGCCACTGTTTTATCAAGGAAAGGAAAAAAAAAAAAAAAGAGTAGACATTTTCTCAGACAAATTCTATTAATATCTTACCCAATTTGCTACAACAAGAATTTGGGCCTGCTTCTTTGTCTCAAAAAACACAACCGTGCTACACATTATAGTACAACAATTGAAAAAAATGCAAGAAGTACTCCTGATAGACAAAACCAATTATATCATCGTCGTCAAGAAAACTTACCTCCTCAAAGTGTGCTACATATATGTCCGGTCCATGTTTTGTTAGTTGAAGAATGTAGTGTGCTTGCTTGACAGTGTTGGAGGGGAAGAGAGAGATGTATTTGGAGTTGAAGAAGGAATGTTTTTTATGCCAAAGAAAATGGAATGATGAGTAGCAACAAACAAAACGGCGATGGAGAGAGAGAGAGAGAAACTGATGATTGGCTAGTATTGGAGGAATCGCTGCCACCTGATGATTAATCGCTTTAAATTGTATAATATAATGTTTTGGAAAACACTGTGGACCCCAGAATTGGTGAATTTCCAAGGAGGACCGGATAAATTAGAGTTTTTTTTCTGGTCGCATACCTAAAAACAACAAAATAGTAAATTATAAATTAGTCCTTCCCTTTGTAAGAAATAAATTAATTAGTCCTTTTAATTTTAAAAATTAATTATTTGGTTCTTTTAACTACCATTGATCATAATTAATTTAATATTTTTTATTTTATAATTTTTTTTATCAATCTTTTCATATTATTATTTATTTTTTTATTTCTTAAAACAAAAAATTAAAATAAATTGAAAAATAGCAAAAAGGACTAATAATTTACTCAACAACAAACGAGAAAACATTTCGGACTAAAAAAATTTTCAAACCATTTTAAAAATGCAACTCTCGCATCAAAGTGGTACCTTTAAAATAAAAATTATAAAAATTTTCTACATACTAAGCCCAAGATTTGAACATAAGGAAAAAAAAAAAAGAAATTCTTTTTAACCACAAGACATTAGTTGTGTTGTGATTGGCCTACAATAGAAACCAATTAGTTTTACTTACAAGGGAAGCGAAACTTTTTTAAAAAAAAATCAAGAATGTGTATGAATTATTAAGACTAAATTGTAAATTACTTTTCGTAACTTGGATGAAAAAACAAATACTCCCTTAACAAAGATCTTAATTTACGCCATAAATTAAGATAATTGAGGAAGGTTCTGCTATATTTTGAGATATGAATTATGAATTTTATAGTCAAATGTGATATTGAAAATGGGTTATTGTTGTTTTTCGAAATTTAATTCAAGTTTGTGAATTGAGAGATGCATTTAATGGGCTTCATTTAATCAATAAAGCAGTTGCTATTAAAGATTTTAAAGTTTGCTTGGTGTTTAAAGGTTTTTGAAGTTTATTATTTTATAATAAAATTCAATGATTTTGCATTTCTGCATATGATGGCAAGGTGTAATTAGTGTTAAACGGGATTCATCAGTGATGGGAAGGACGAGAGATAGAGAGAGAGCTCAATATGACAATTTAATATTGTTTTCTCATTTGTAGAAGGATTGAAAATGACCCTTTGCGAAGTTTAAGTGACTTCGATCATTTATATGGAAAAGGGATAATAATTATAAAAAAGAAAATCAGGAAAATGGATGAGACAAATTGATTACAAAAATATTTTGTCTCCTTTGTGAGGGTAACGGCAAGTATGTCCACACATCTAAGGCAAATAGGCCACCACGTTTGTGCATGCTATTAATCCACGCGACGACTAGCAAGGAAAAATGCATGGTTGGCTGCACCAGCTGTTTTTGTTAATAAACAGAACCATATGCCTAAAAACGAACAAACTGTTTTCTAAAGCATATAAATTAAAAAATAAAAAAAAAATCAGCAAGGAAATAGAAAAACATATTGATTAGTATTTGTATAGCTTGTTTAGAAAAAAGATAAGAGAGGATGGGAAAGGAAAGGATTGGAAAATTTGTACTCTCCTTTGTTTGGATAAACAAGAAGAAGAATGAATGAGAAATCAATTTTATTTGTTCTGTTAGAAAAAAGAAATTAAAAGTAATAAATATCAAATGTCCGTGGGATGAAATGACAAATAAAGTTTAAAGGATTTATTTGTTAAAATTAAAAAACCGGATTTTTTAAAAGAAAAAGAAATAAAGTTAAAATAGTGAGTTAATATTAAAAAATTATAAAGCTTTCTTCCTTTTCATTATACCTAATTTGATACTGAGACTTTAAAAGGAAAATAAAGGTTAAAAATTAACTTCCATTTTCCTTGTTTTCCATTAAAATTTTCTTTCCAAACAAAATTAAACTATCATTAACCTTCATTCCCCTCTCTCTCTCTCTCTCTCCTTGCTCCTCTTCCCCTCCATTTCCATCTTTCCATGATAAGTTCTTCTTCCAGGTATAAATAAACCGATAATTGCATAAAAGCATTGACAACCAGGAGGTTAAAAGTTAATAATAATAATAATAATAATAATAATAAATCATGAAATACGAGGTTTTTTTTTTAAAAAAAAAAAACACAAACACACACACAAAGAATACAAAAGATTATTATGCACACAATAAGAATCAAAATATTGATAAGAATGAACCATTCGTAAATGGATTCCTTTAATCAAGAAATTCTACTTTTTTTTCCCAAAAAAGAAAAAGAAAAGAAAAGTCCTACTATTTCATTATGAATTTCTTTGCGGTTGCACCCCTAATGGGTGTCAGCATAACGGATTGCAGAAGAAGACTTCCCCGTTGACTTTCCAGTCGGTGACCCAAACTTCCATGCACAGCACACACAAACCAACCCACACAGTGATACAGATCCAAACCGTCCATTCAATCTCCCAACTCCCAAGCAATCAAAATCAACGCCTCAAAATCCAAAACTACAAAACCTCCACATCTCCCGATAAGCACCGTATCCTCCACCCCCTTCCCTCTCCTCTCTCACAAAAAAAAAAAAAAAAAAGGTCTCTCACCGCCCTATCCTGGTAACAGATCTCAATCCAAATGAATAACTAAAATCAATCGAATTGAAAAAAAAAAAAACCCGAAATAAATGGATGTGGAGAGGTCATCGCTGTGTAATTGCGTGGTGAATTTCTTGTTAGAGGAGAAATACATATTAACAGCATTTGAATTGTTACAAGAATTATTAGATGATGGAAGAGACGATCACGCTATTCGTCTTAAAGAATTCTTCTCTGATCCTTCTCAATTTCCTCCTGATCAGATCTCTCGCTTCAACTCTCTTCGAGGTTTTCTCTCAATTTTCTCTTTTTTCTGGTTGATTTAGCTTCTTAGCTACTAATTGTGATGAAATTTTGTTGATTTTTTTCTTGCATTGAGTGCTATCGATTTGGATTTGAAATCTAAGAAACAATTTGGTCAAGTTTGGTATAGAATAGTGTAAAGAAATGAATGATCGTTGCGTTGTTTATCGGTGTTCGATATGCTTAATTAATAGTAACTAAAGTTGAGCTGATAGTATGAGAGATGTTATTAAACTTTGATTATTGTTAATCATGATTTGATAGCATGTTTTATGTTTGAAATGTAATTGATCATGGCATCCAGGAAAACAGTGTCATTAGAACAGTCGTATAATATCGATTGCGTTGCGGTTCTTATTACGTAATTGCAAGCATGAACTTGCATTTGCGGTTACTCTTGATTGCTGGTGATATGATTCATAATTTGTGAATCAGTTATGATTGTTTATGTAGCATGCATATAGGATTAGGTTGAGTTACTGATCGATGAGTAACTGCAATTTTTATTGATGTATATTGAATACAGAATGTAAGCGATGCTCTTTTCTGCCCCTTTTATTCTTGAAAAGCAGTTGCAGACCCTCAGAGTTTGCTAGAAGAGAAAGAAGCTATGGAAGAAAAATTAGCACTTACTGAGTACGAGCTTCGTTTAGCACAAGAGGATATTTCTAAATTGAAGACCGAATTGCAGAAGAAATCAGATTTGTCACCGACAGAATTGTGTGGTAAACTTCTCCTTCTGCGTGATATTTGTATTTTATATCACTCATTTTCATTTATGCTGTTTAATTTCTATCCTTGCCTGTTTTATTGCATTATCTTTTGATTAATTGGCCACCACTTTTTCTTTCTTTTTCCTCTTTCTGGGCTTTGATTTAATTTCTAAAATTGTTTTACTGTCTGGAATCACTTATGTATTTCTGCATTTGGGACTTACCATGCACAAACTAGGTTTTTTTTTTACTTAGCCACTATTCTTTTGTCATTTTATAAACATTCCATCTTGGATGAATTTGCAGAGTCAAAGTCAAATGCTTCTGTAAATTTGGGACCAGACATTCTGAGACAAAAGAAGGATTCTTCCCTCTCTGACTTGGGCCCTTTGAAAGTTAATGAGCGTAGGGATCTTAACTGTGCTGTAAAGGAATATTTACTTTTAGCAGGGTACCGGCTTACTGCTATGACATTTTATGAAGAAGTATGTATTATGTAAGACTTTTAATGCAGTGTATAGTCTCTCTATTTTTGTATACAAGCTTTTTCCTTCTATATTATTTTATGCTCTTTTAGCCAATGCTATGTTTGATTCAGCATTAGATAGAAACCATTGGTTGTTGGGTACTGCAACAGCATTTGTAGGCTGTTCTGCTAATCAAAGTGCATAAATCATTACACAAACCTTGAATTGAATTTATTGTTGCAGCAGCATTTGTAGGCTGGCCTGCTGATCCAAGTGGACAGAACATAATGCATACCTATAGGGATTGAGTTGGGGGGGGGGAGGTAATTGAGACATGTAAGTTTATTAAATACTTGAGTGCATTTGGCAAACTGAGAATGGATAATGATGTAGGCTTAAGTATAAGGTAGCTTTGAATGCCAATATCTGGGATACTGACTGTTATTTGGATTAGCCTGCTTAGTCAATTGGCCTCGTCACTGTTTCCTCGCTCTTTGTATGGACCTCATGTATTTTGGTCCAGTGTTGGAAAGTTTGT